GTCAGCCGCTGGTCAGTTTCAGCAGCGGCTGAATCGGGGACAGCTGGGGTGCTGCCAGGTTGGTCCCGCAGCCCCAAGGGGCAGCACTACGGGACCAACCCGGCAGCACCCCAGCTGCTCTGCCCCCAGCTTCCCCAATTCAGCTGCTGGTCAGTTTCAGCAGCGACTGAATCGGGGAAGCCGGGCGCAGAGCAGATCCAATTGTCCGGCAGCCAGAGCACTTCCAGGTTCCTGACGGTGCCGGACCATCAGGAGTGCCAGAGCACTGGATGCCGGACCAATGGAGTTTTAATGTATTTGGGTGTGATATAGATCTTGGATTGCACTTAAATTAAAAAAGTGATCTCGTGCTTAAAAAGCTTGGAGACCACTGCTCTAGTCCAAGTAGCACAAACTCTGAGTATGTACTTGAATCATGATATCCATAAGACAGGCCATTGAATACAAGGCTAGCCAACTTTACAGCTTCAAAATTCCTAGTTTCAAACTGTGGTAACAGGACATGATTCTATATCTTGAGCAATTCCACACAGTGTTTAGAACCGTAGCCTTAACAGCAAAGCCATGGCCTCGAGTCCAGGACAGTCCCAATAAATTCTGATCTCTCCACAGAAGTGAAGCAGATTTCTCCATATTGATTAGGAACCCTCCAATGCATAGACGGTGGACAGTATATTGCTACAGAATACCTGAGACCAGACATTTAGTAGCCAGTCATCTAGGTAAGGAATATGCATATGCCCAATTTTCAAAGGAATGTCATCACAACAGCCATGCACTTCATGAACATGCGAGGAGCTGCTGACAGGCCCAAGGGCAGCATTCTGAATTGGTAACAGGATCAATTCAACTTGAACCTGAGGAATTATTGATCACTTTGGAAACCTGCCATGTGAAAATACGCCTATTTTAAACAAACAGCCGTATATCAGTGCCCATCAGCTAGGGAAGAGATAACAGAAACCAGAATTTTATTTTCTATAGGAACTTGTGCAGCTGTCTTAGAGCTAAAGAAAAATGGGGGGAAGGGCTATAACCCCACTCTCTAATCTGGAAAGCAAACAGATGTACTGGGAATAAAATCCCTCTCCTCTAAGCAACAGAGCAACTTCCTCTAGAGCCAGTCTCTTCCTCCCATGTGGGCTACAGAGGAAGTTCACACAGGACGTCTTGAATGCTGTGTTTCATGTCTAGGTAATCATTTCTATGATTCTATGATAAGGGGATGGTTGGATGAAATAACATGATCTTGGTAACTAATTGACCATTCATTATAGGGAACTTTCTGGGTGTCTGGCTGGTGAGTCTTGCCCACATGCTCAGGGTTTAGCTGATCGCCATATTTGGGGTCAGGAAGGAATTTTCCTCCAGGGTAGATTGGCAGAGGCCCTGGAGGTTTTTCGCCTTCCTCTGTAGCATTGGGCACAGATCACAGCTGAAGGACTCTCTGCATGTTGGGGCCTTCAAAGTATTTGAAGGCTTCAATATCTGAGACATAGGTGAGAGGATTATTCTAAGAGGGGTGGGCGAGATTCTGTGGCCTGCACTGTGCAGGGGGTCAGACTAGAAGATCATAATGGTCCCTTCTGACCTTAAAGTCTATGAGTCTATGAGTAAGACTTGCCAACTGCATCCAAAAGAGAAAACACTGATGGTGGAAGCTACAGTTCAAATCAGTCTGCCACCTCTAGACCATCTTCCAATTAACTTGTCCTGCTCTGCCACAATAGTAAATGCTAGCTTTGCCTCTCCCAGACACTTGTCCTTAAATGTTGGAATATTCAACTCTAAACTTCCTGTGGTATAAATCCACCTTCAGAACATGTTGCTCTGCTTATTTTCCTTTTTGGTGTAGATCCCTGATTCCCAGTCTCTCTCTTTCATTAGCAGCAGAAATTACCATGGAGCCCAGAGGAGGATGGTTATAAAAAAGTGTTAGAATGCCTCCACCCTTTTTTGCAGTGGGAAAGAGGGAACACAGGGTCTGCCATAAATTCTTGACTAGCTCCAAGGTAGCCTCATTAATAGAAAGAGCTACCCTAGACCAGAGGTCCTCAGCTGCAGGGTGCCCGAGGCCCTGGCCACCTGTTCCAGACCCTGGCCAAGCTCCATTTTTGGACCCAGCTGTGGCCCCAGCCTTTGCCCCCTACCTCTATTCACATGCCCCCTTTCCCAGAGCTGCAGCTCAGTTCCCCATCCGGGGTGGCCTGACAAGCACAAGATAAAAGGTCAGGGCACTACTGCCCTAGATGACCTGCTGAGGCGAAGACACTCACTGGCCTTTATAACTTTTCCTGTACCTCTTTCAACTGGATATCTAGAGTTGTAGCCATCTTCCTCTAAAAGTCCTGATAAACTCTGGAATCAAGAGGGGGAGAAGCAGACACTGTTACTACTGCTTCATTAAGAAATGAAGAAGATGAGCATAAGGGCTGTTGAGGTAGAGATTCCACTGGGTCCTCCACAAAAGAAACCAGAGTACACAGCTCCTTGTGCATAGTACCAGTCCCAGTACCAGAGATGGTAACCCTGTTGCAGATGCTCCCTATACCTAACTGATATAGTAATGTGGGAACAGAGTGGAGATACCCCAGACTGTCAAGGGAAACTTCAAGGGATCCAAAAAGGCCACTGACCCAGTTACATGTGAGGCATTGATCTTCGGAAGGCTGAGGCTGTGGCTGGTACCAGGTTGGACAGGCATTCCACTGGGACTGCTGAACACACCCATGCCAAGAGATGCAAGAGCTGACCATGGAATCTGATGAGGAGTCAGTGTCATGACCCATAAGCCTTGAACGAGTGTCTGTAGGGTTTATAGGAGCAGGCATGCTCCAACCCCTCCTTCTGACAGACTGCCAATACTTGGATACGTAGAGCCATGAAGCCCATCTCTAGCCTGATGTTCCACCCTGGCAGTGCTATTGGCAGCATCACAGAGTAGCTGATTGCTATGATGGCTAGACTTAAGACAGAAGCAGGAAGAGAAAGTGGTACCTCGATGTCCTAGGCCTTCGTTCCGTGCTTTCACGCCACATTTCTAAGAGCCCAGAACCAAATCTTTAGAAGAATTATATTTTCTCTTCTTTAGCACCAGGAATGAAAATCTTGTTTGACCCAGCTGAATAGGAGGTCACTCCTAACAGATTCAGAATGCCTTCAGTACCCACTCTGAGGAGGAAGACTCCAATGGCGGGCTAAGTGCCAACTACACAAACAGATACTTAGATTTGGCTGTCCTTTCCTTCTTTAATCAAGATTTGAACCTCCCTACAAATGAGACGTGTTACTCACGTGGACCTCTCCCAGACACTTAAGGCAGCTGGGATGTAGGTCACTAACAGGCTTAGACTAGTTACATGCATAACAGGACTTGAAGCCAAGAGAATGAGGCATGGGTCCAGTACTTGCACTGGTACCCAAACAGAGCTGACTGACTGGATATGGCTGATTAATTCTCTGTGAAACTGTGCTGTCGCGGAGCTTAGACAGAACACTAAATGAACATTATTTTATGGATCTTTGGAATATTCAAATCACCAGTCCAAGTATGTGTCCATCATAATGGTTTATAACTTAATGTTTCTCATACTTGTGGCCATAGTATGCACTTCCAAAGAATGGAAATATACAAAAGCAATTTAATTAGGAAAAAAGCCTAATGTATTTTTTTCCTACACCAACAATTATTGCTCAAAATAAATATGTTTTACCTAAATGATTAAGTTCCCTTTGGGGCTCATTAAATAAATTAACTTATTTATCAGTCACTTATATCAAGTATTAGAAAGGATTATGCAAATATTTCTCAGAGTTTAATTGACATCCTTAAAAAGTGGTACACTGGAAGCTTAAGCTAAGTTAATTAAAGGATTATGATTCCATAAAGGTTATGAGTTTTATAAACAGGGATTTCTGCAGCCATCTTAAATAATTTCAGAAGAAATACAGTTAGCCTAGTATTTTAGAATGTATCTAGTTTATTTTGACAAATTATGAAATTATGTAATTTATCACATTACTTTCAAAAACTCTAGATATTCATATTATGATAAAGCTAGAAGGCTGTAACCAGAATGGGGACCCGCTGCACTAGATGCTTTACACCCAATTAAACATGGTCCCTTGACCTTCAAGACTTATTTGTTGAATCTTATCTTCAATTAGTAAGCATAACAAACAATAGGATAGAAATATGACAAACAGTAGAAAAATGGTTGCAGATACCATCTAGACAACAAAGTTTGTATATTTTTATTCTGAATATAACAATTTCCCTTTTTAAAAATATTCTTATTAGTTTCCATTCTACCGGTTATATTACTATTTTCTTTTCTTAGTATCAACAATCATTCATATTGTAATTCACAATGACACTCCATAGTGTACTTGGGTCTACTTTGTGTTCACAGTAGTATCTACTGTATATTATTCGTGGCCATTTGCCTTTCCTACATAAGTACCATGGGAAAAACAAAGATTTTTTTTGTCTTTTCCATTATTGCTCTCCTATGACCATTTGCTCATGTTCTGTTTCTATTTAAATTAGATGGCAAAATACCTAATGAAAGGACTATTTTTTAGTAATGCACCATATATGTTAATAATGAGGCTAAGAGAGTTAAGCAACCTTTTGCAAATCGATAGGAGTTAGACATCTAACTTCCTTAAACTACTGAAAATCACAAGTTAAAATCTATAACCATTGACCCAAGAAAAAAGTTATTTTTAAACTTTGATATTCAGAAGATCCTGGATATAATTTAAAAACAAGGGAAAATTCTGCACAAAGAATCGCTTTGGCCCAACCATTCTAAAGGAACACAGATTATGCCTTCCGTAATTTTTTCCTCAAATTTAAATTTAGCAGGTATCATGTCACTCTGGACTACAAACTATGCAAGTAGATAAGACATGAGCACTATGTAGTCTAATTTTCAATGCTACAAGTTTTAAATGTTAAATACCAACATTTGTAATGCATCATTGTACAGTCTTACCTTACAATAGGCAGCTTGGTGAATGGCACAGGGGGTAACCTCAAACCTTCTGGAAGTGTGATGAACTCCATCGTACCAGGACATTTTGACGTGTAGTTTTCCAAGCTCTGTGTTACATCTTTCTTTTCTAAAGGAGATTAAAAAGTCAGCTGAATTGCAACATCAACACAAAACGGCTGAGTTAACAATGAAGTTGCCTTAACTTGCATGTTACTTGTTCTGGTATTTATATCCGACAGACTCTACAGGTTGAACCTCTAAAATCCAGAACTCTCTGATCCAGCAACATCCGGACCATGGATATTGCTGGACTAGAGAGTCCTGCCTGGCCAGGTTCAGGGTCTGGTCTGGTGGTGGGGAGCACAGCACTAGTGGTTGCAGGGCTGGCATGGTAGGGAGCATAGTCCCATCTGGGACCACAGCCTTCATGGCAGGGGAGCCAGCACAAGTGGGGAGCACAGTCTGGCCTGGACAGAGGCAGCTGGGCTGGTGGCCAGAAGCACAGCTCCGGCCCAGGCTAGCATAGCAGGGAGAGTAGCCCCATCTGGGCCAGAGGCTGTGGGGTGGGCGCCCAGGAGTGCAGTCTAGACTGACAGCAAGAATGCAACACCAGCCGGGGTCAGCATTCTGGGGAGTGTAGCTGTGGGCCCTGGTGGGGAGTGCAGTGCTGGCAGGGCTAGAAGCAATGGGCCTGCTGCAGGGAGCAAAACCAACAGGTGGGAGGGGAGCCTTCACCTCCCCTGGTCCAGCAAACTGTTGTTTAGGACCACTTAGGTCCCAACGGTACCAGATCAGGGAGATCCCACCTGTAGTATAATGCCATCAATGTTCCTTTTTTTTTTTTGAAGCCCATATAAGCCTCACTGCACAGGCTAAAGATGTGTCATATCAATATAGAATAGTAAGTACATGTTGAGTAAGTCCTACTTAAACAAAAGTTTACAAAGTAAAAACTGTGTCAGTGATAATGCTTAGTAAAATTATCATTAGATGTATTAGATAATTGGTTATTAGAAAAAATTGAGCATTTTTGCTACATATATTTCATATTTCTTCAACTCCTCATCTCCAGCCCCACCCCAGAGCAATGATTTAAATGAAGAAAAACAAAGATTGAGTTAAGGACCTGGGCAACACTGGGTAAAGCTTCTAGTAACAGGATAAAAAGGGTAAAAGGACTCTTTTGGGAAGACCCCAGCAGGTTTCATCCCTTTATTGATGGTCATCAGTCGAGAGCCCCAACAGACTTGAGCAGGAATATAGTATAGTTTATTAGGTTTTATATATTTGTTTGATTGTTACTTTAATAATCTGCTTAGTAAAACTTATACCACATGCAAAATTCATTAATTGTGACTGTTTGCAGGCACTTCTCTTTTTATGATCCCACAGACTCCCAACATGAGAAAACAAGCAACTTCACCCTGCTGATCTTAAACTGTAGAGAACAGAAACTTGACTAAATTAACACAGAATGAACTATTCAGTTTATATAAAGCTGCATCTGTAATGCTTTGACCTTACGAATAAATGTGCTTGCTTAGGAAAAGCTGGGTGGTACCTTATAACTGTGGACAATTATGCAGTTTATAGCCTTTGGGGAAAAACCATTGCAGGCCTGCCTATACAGCCTGACTGTTGGGGTTCTCACAGTGGAGGGAGGGAATCAGGCAACCTAGAAAATTCCTGATTAGGAAGGAGAGAAATGTGCATTTCTGTGCCAGAGGGGAGGGCTGAAGAATAGAAAGTCTACAGTACGTACTCTTTCTGGACCACATAGAAGGGAAATATAGATACAGTTGCCCTGAGCTGCGACAACTTATTGAGAATTTGAATTTTATTTGTCCTCTACAGGAGTGCCCTGTGCTCTCCCACTTGTGAGCAATATCACCCTGGCTTCATTATGAAAAATTCCCGTTATAATATACATGTACTGCCCTCTAACAAGCACTCCAACTCTTAAAAGTTAATATTTAACTTAGACAAATTCTAGATTTTTCAGTTTTAAGAGCAATATAAAGTAGCAATTTGAAATTTACATTTCATAAAACTAATGCACATGTACTGTTATAAAAGCAAGCATGGCTTGTTCACTTTTTAAAACCATGTGTGATGGTTCCGCCCTCCACCTCCACTCTGATTTATAAAATGGACTTATGGACATAAATGTATATAACTCAAACGTGCTTTGAGCAAATTACTTCATGTAACCTATCACTCTTAATGTCAATCTGCTGGATCTGTTTATCTTCTTTTGGGGTGTGTATCATTCTTGTGTGTAAAATTAGACATTTGGAGTAGGGAATACTGTATGGGTTTTAAATGTGTAAATGAAAGTCATCAAGAAAAGCCTCAGTGTCTCTGCACTCATATGCAAAAGCCTTTTGTTCTTAAGTCTTAGTGGTTGGTAGGGACGGGCCAGGTGACTCCCCGTGCAATAAGGGAATCTTAAAAACAATAGGAAAGTAGGAGTCTTTTGTCTTTGGCTGGCACTTCCAGGAGAGTGAACCAAAGACCCCAAGGGAAGTGAAGAATTCCCTGGTTTGAAGGTGCAATCTGGAAGAGAAACAGTTTTAGGGTGAGTTTGTAATAACTTTATATTGAGGACATAGTGTAAGAATTAGCTGCACATTTTTTGTTACTTTTAATTTGTAACCTGAAGAGGTTCAGTGTCTGTACTGCTTCTCAGGAAGGAGGGGGAACGTGATCTCAGTTTGGAGCCTTGGTTAGAGGGGACCAGAGGCGAGAAGCCCCAGAGAGCGAGAAGCTGTGGCGCAGTGGCCATGTCAGCACTCCAGGAAGCCCCCCCACAAAGGTTCCTCTGTTACCTCTCCCTATCGCACCATGGTGCTACTCTTCTAAAATAATATGTTTTATCATATTTCATGTGTATTTTAAAGTTTACCAAGTTCCCCAAGTTTTCATTCACAGTTTTTTCCCCAAACATTAACACATTAGTTATTTGAAAAAACACCATAAGCCTAAGAATAGAACACCAGAGTGTACACTTAATCCTCACTCCCCAGTATTTTAGGTTTAAATCACTACAGAGCTTAGCAGGGAAACCCAACTAGCTCATTCTTTCCCCACAAATAATCCCCTTCACTTCATGTCAGAGCTGCAAAATTATTTCTGCTGTGCAGAATTATAATACAGAGTTGTATATGAATGGATTATGCAGTCCAGCCAATTCAAGATTATCTGTTAAAAAAATATCTTGGAAAAACAAAACTGAAGCCTTGGAATCAAACACATTAAGTAAATTCCAAAGAATATCAGACAGCGATTTAAACTATACTTGGAGAAGAGGCTATATGTAGAACCCCTCAATCATTCTCCAAACTCAGATTAGACCAAGATACTGTATAATAACTCAAATATTTTACTGCTAACAAAACAATGCACAAGGATTAGCCTGTTGCATTTAAACATCTTTTCATTTTATTACCATGGACACTGATTAAAGACCAGTGAACAACTTTTTTAAAGTGAAAATTAAAAAGAATCAGTGCTGGTTCTATATAGAATCAAGATTCTTTATTTTTCTTTCCCAGTTCTTTATAAAAAAAACAGTTACCTGTTCTTGTAACTGGTGTTCTTCAAGATGTATTGTTCGCATCCATTCCAATCAAGTGTATGCGCGTTGTGTACGAGTCAGAAACTTTTCCCCTAGCAGCTCCCATAGGGTTAGCTGTGGAGACTCCTAGAGTGGCGCTGCTATATCAGTGAACATATACCACAGCTGACCCTGCCCTCCCTCAGTTCCTTCTTGCTGGTTACTCCAACAATGGGAAAGGAGGGTGGATATTGGAATGGAAGTGAACAACATATCTTTCCTTCTTCAAGAGTGTGTTCATGTTGATTCCAATCAGGTGACTCCCAAGCTGCTACCCCCCCAAGGAGGTGGGGGTCAGAGTTAGGAATCACAGACTGGAGCACTGCCCTGCCAACAGCTACATCCTCGCTGGACAGTTTATCAATAGCAAAGTGGGCTGTGAACGTATGAGTAGAGGACCACATGGCAGCCCTGCAGATCTCCTGGAGGGGAACTTGCGCCACAAATGCAGTTGACAAGGCATGTGCTCTAATTGAGTGGCCTGTGACCAATGGAGACAGGATCTTTGCTAGGTCCTAACAGACGCATATGCACTTTACTATTCATGATGATATGCATCGCGCAGGGACAGGATCCCCTTCATTTGCTCCACTATTACCATGAATAGCTGCATGGATGACCTGTGTAAAAAGCCTGGAACCTCCTTACATCTAGCATTTACAGCACTCTGCCTAGCACTAGAATGTGGTTTGGGATAAAAGACTGGAAGAAAGCTCTCCTGAGCAAAATGGAATTTGGAAACCACCTTTGGTAGGAAGGAAGGGTGCAGCCTAAGTTGAATTTTATCCCTGTAGAAAACCATATACGGGGGCTCTGAGGAGAGGACCCTCAACTCAGACACTCTCCTTGCCAAAGTGATGGCCATCAGGAAGGCATTTTTTCATGAAGGTGGAAGCAGTCAGCACTCAGCCATACATTCAAAGGGTGGTCCCATAAGTTTATTCAACAGCAGGTTTACATCCCAAGTCAGTACAAAAGAATGCTAATACAGATACAACCTGTCCAAACCTTTCCTGAAGCAAGCTACCATGGGGTGACCAAACAGGGAACTCCGGGAGCAACCCAGGTGAAAGGCAGACACGGCCACCAAGTGTACTTTCACCCAAGAGGGTGCCACACCCTGCATCCATAAGTGCAAAAGGTATTCTAACACAACTGGAACGGGCACCCACCAAGGGGAGATGCCCTACGCTGCATACCAGGTAGAAAACCTTTTCCATTTGGCCATGCATGCCACCCTGGTAGAGGGATTTCTACTGCCCAAAGAGGACTTCCTGCACGTATGCAGAGCATTAAAGACATTCCTGATGCTGCATCAGGTACAGGGGAAGGGCTATCAGGGCCCACACCAATAAGTAGGGTGGAGAACCAATGTTGGTGAAGCCATGCCAACGCCAACACGATTAGACAGGCCCTGTCCCAGCAGGCATTCAGTAGGAACTGATATACCAGGTGAACCGGGTGGAATGCATACAGGAGGGTCCCTCTCTTCCCAGTGGAGCACAAATGCA